CAGCGGCAGTAGAGAGCACAGGATATTTTACGTTACTGACAACAGATCACACAGTGCTGTCAGGAAACCAAAGGATACTGCACATACAGCGCAACATATATTATTTATTCATAGGAACCAAATTTTCATTTAAGTGATATGGTGAATCAGTTCAACTAAAAAAAAAACTAAAAAAAACCACACCCACAGATTGCAATGTGTGGGAATAACTGTGTAAAGTCTTACATCTGATATGGGAAAAAAAAGGCAGAAATAGAGGGACAGAGTGTATTGAAGAGCTGGCCAGACTCTGTGGGTGCTGTTGGAGGCGGCACAGGGCTGTCTCTGCCTTCACATTTTACACAAAAGACTTCAGAAATGTCAGCCAACGAGAGTGTAGGCTTTGAAAACAGAGAGTGTAATGAAAGCCCCTCACTCACTTGTCCATTCTTACTGTACTACAGCATAAAGGTGCTTTTTCTTTTTCTTTTGCAAAAAGAAAAGCTTCTGAGTGATAAATGCAAAAAAAATAAATACAAATAAAATAGCACAAGAGGGACATAGAGCACTGGTTTAAATGCTTCTTTTGGGAGGAAACATGCAGGAGGATATGAGATAAGAAACACAGAGGAAAGTGTCAAGCCACGGGCTAAAGTATCTTGAAACAATTAGGCCGTTGCAGACTGGAGGAGGGTTCAGTGTCACACAGTGCCACCTACTGTCTGGGACGACGCCACACGAGATTAGAAGGGAAAAGGTGATGTGCAGATGATAGTGTATGCAACAATGCTTTTTAAATCGAAATTAAACCTCCATATGTGTAAATCGAAGCTGTAGTATCACATATCCACCCCCTCTACACCTCCTTCTCTCTTTAATAATCTTTTCCTCTCTTGCGTCCCCTTTACCGACGCTGCTGTTGAACGACTGTTTACACTTCGCCCACTGTAACACTACAGACAAAGCCCTGAGTTACAGCAGAGACAACTCTGTTATGATGGAAAACCTCATGTAGGTTCAAAGGTCTACAAAGTGTGGTGTGTTTACATACTGAGGTGGTACTGCAGGAGGTAACCGGTGAGGATGCCATTTGACTTTGGCGGCTGTGCCCATTCCAGCCTAACTGAATCTCTCTGGATGATGGAGGAAGTAAGGACGGTAACTTGCTCTGGAACTACACAAACAACAACAGTGGTAAGATAAGCACACATTTTTTTAAAAACTGGGATGAAAAACACACTGATCTAAAACCGATCTTGTCACAAGGATGCAATTCATTTTAAAGCTGAATTCATAGTTTGTACAGTTTTCAGCACGTGTGCATAAACGCCTGAAGCATGGGTTGTTTAGCGTGTGTGATCACAGTATCACCTCACCTCCCTCTGGTGTATTAAAGGTCACCGGATCACTCTTGGGTCCATTGCCCTTCTTGTTGAAAACATAAACAGTGAGTTTGTATTCAGAAAAAGGTTCGAGTCCTGGCACAATGACATGACTTCTGTTTCCAGAAAAGGACATGGAGTGACTCAAATCTAAAATCTTGTCGGGATTCAGGAGACTTCTTCTCCTCACCCAGTGAACCTGTGAGAGGGTGGAATATAAAACAACAAGAAGGACAGTAAGATAATGAAAGAGCTCCTTTACACACACATCCTTTTGTCACTCTTTTTCTTTGCCACTGTGCATCCTTCAAACTTTCAACACAAGTACAGCATTAAAACTCCTTAAATGATAAATTTGGGTATAATTTTTTTAAAAATGTTTAAAAATTATATCCAACCAAAAGTAAAACTCTCAAAATGTGCTGTCACGATGAGAGTACATGCAGAGATCTCATTTTAGAGTTTGTCCTCCAAATGACAAAAATCATTCCACCAGAAAAACCGCACTATTCAGAAAGCAGACATTGGAGGATTTTCAAATACCGAGAAAAACACGCTGCTGTTTGAAGTTCCTTTGCTGGAATTGAAAATGCAGAGATGTTTGAGAAGCTGACAACTTACATTATAACCACCCAGACGACCTCGCACCGTGGCAGGCGGAACTGGGGTCCAGCTAACCCTCAGAACAGTGGTGTTGATCACCTCCACAGCAATGTCCCGTGGTGCCGCAGTAGGAACTAAAGACGGTGGGAGGAAGTTGAGAAACAGCAGACCTTTATTCCGACTTTTTTCCCAACATATTGAAAATACAATGTGTGTAGTTGCAGAAAGTTACAAAATACATTGACCTTGTTAGATTAATACAGTGTTTTAAGCTGAGGAATGGTGTTCTGTTGCTTGATGAATTGATGAGTCAAAACATTGGTGCTGGTATAAAAAGCCAAGAAAGTGCACGGAAAATATGCTGAGCTACATGCAAAATGAAGCAAATTAGCTACTGAAAGCAGGGGGAAAATCCACACCAGACACAAAATGGCACTGTAAATATTTTCTACTCTACGCGTTACTGTAACGACAGGAGCACGGCAGACACTGGAAAGTGAAGCAGCCCTCGTGCCTCAGTAGGCCTACAGCGCAAAGCGTGTCGTGATCTATCAAATCCCCAACAGCTTCTGAGACAGAAGTGGAAATTTGACATCCCTCTCCTCTACAAAGGTTATCTGCCACCTGCTAGCAGTGGTGTTTTTTTGTTTTTCCTTTTACAAAAGGAAGGAAAAGTCACTACTGCACCACCTGCACAGGGTTAAAACCTTGGGTAAGTGGAGGGGGGGAGAAAAAGAAAAGAACTTAACCTGACACATTTTCCCGCAGACAATGCCAAAAGACAACTGAGAACACGGTAAAGAATCATAACACGAGAAGTTCAGAGTTAAAAGAAAACCAACAGACAAATATGCCAGTTCAGCTTTGGGGTATGTTGTAATGAAGTCAGTTGCAGATAATTATATCGTACGCTGAAATATATTAATACATACTACTCACCATCTTCCCCAGAGTAACCTGTAACAGGCTTAGGCTCTGGCCCCCAGCCGTAGCTGTTTCTGCTCAGGATTTTAATCTCGTAGGGGACAAAGGTGGGCGTGTTGTTCACGAGAAACACAGATCTGTTGACCATGTGCTCCGTGAAGCTATCTTCCACCCCGAGTTGGCGGTACTTCACTTTGTACTCAAAGCCTGGGCCGTTGCGCTCAACAGGTGACAGCGGCTACAATATGACAGTGCAGAGAAATTGTTACAATCCTATAACAACTTCTAGTGAAAATTCTTACAGATAACAAGTCTTTTAAATTTAAATGAATAAACAATTCTCATACCTCCCAACTGATTTCCATTTGATGAGGATGATGGCCTTGAATTTTGATGTTTTCTGGGTTCCTATCGGGTGCTTTGGAGACATGTGTGCATTTGTATAAATAACTTTTTGCAGAATAAAAAAGATGCCATTTTTAATACTAAAACTTGCATGCTTTGACATGTTACACATAACCAGAGAGACATTTTTAATAAATAGGAGCTGGTCTCACCAGCAGGGGGTGTTTTGTGTCGTTCAGTCGGCTCACTCGGGGGTCCGGGTCCAATGGCATTAACAGCATACACTCTGAACTGGTAGTTAAGGTTCCCGTATAGTTTTAGCTCAGCTGTTGCTTGGTTACCGGTGACTCTCTGTAGCTCCTTCCACCTTCCAGGCTCCCAGCGGTTCTCTTCATACTCCACTACAAATTCTGTGCTCACAAAGAGAGAGGACACACGCAGTTGTGACAATACCACTGATTATTTAAAGCATATATTAGGCTTTTATACTTTTGCTTAGATTATATCATATAGAGAGGTTATCTACACCGCCGATCAGTATCTATGAGTGCTGATTTACCCCTTTCTTGATAAATGAATAATTCAACATTATCTTATATGAGTGTTAAATGAGATTACCAATACCACTCATGCATTTCTAATTATGAACCTGGAGGCAGGGACCATTAGTGTAGTACAATGTGAGTAAGAAAAAAAGTACCAGGGAGGAAAGGATTTCTGGTGGTATTATGAATTCTCAGATAGATGATTCATATTAACCCCTTTTATCACCCTTTCTGTGCCACGAAACTTCTAGGATTAAGGGTTGTGCTACCTTCTCTAATTTGAATTTATTAAATTAAGAACTGACAGTGGTATTAACGCTAGGGCCAGAGCTGAAGGGGATAGTGAGAAGGCGCTTTACCACGCTGTCATTAACAGCGATCAGAAAGACAAATTGGCACATCACAGAAAGAGCTAAAAGCCTCCTGTCCATTGTATATTTTTGCGCTTCTGATTTTGTTATCTTCCTAAAGACTAATTATGTTCATTACTTTACAGTTTTCTTTCAATCCTATATTTTTGGTTATGATGTTCATTAGCATGCACTTAAATAAACTCTGTATAGATATGTAGTATATAGGTTTTTTCATTGCTAATGTTTTGTGTGTCTTTTGAAAGCGCCCCCATGAGCCTGTGGGTGACTTTGTAAATAATCTGGGGTTTTTTTGTTTTGTTTAAAAAAAGGCGTTATGTTGTTCCTGATCAACAGGTGGTGATTATGTGCCAAAAAACCTAGAAATGATACAAAAAAGAAAGAAAGGAAGAATGAAACTAGTAAAAATGGCTATAATGAAAGATTCTTCTAAGAAAAAATGCTGTCATCCTTGTTAAATATTAACACTTATTGATGAGTATCACGGGATTGAAAATGCTTTTTGTTCTAAAAGATTTATCTGATTTCAGTCACAAAAAACAGCCATTTTTCCCCCACTGTAACAACCATCACAGCTAAGAATATTAATAACACAACACTGATGAACCCATACAAATTCTTACCACCAAAAATAATTTCACCCTCCCTTTTGAAGCCTAAATGAGAGACAAGCTCCCCTGCTGGGATTCTCAGCGCTTTGCAGCTTTCTTCACTTGTTTAAGTGATCACAGCATCAACTAAATCTCTTTTTCACACGGGAAGCATGAAAACGCTCAGTGATTTGCAGTAAATCACTTGAAAGTTGCATCGAAAAAACAATTTCAGTTTTTAATAATAACCTGCAGACTTTTTTCCAACTGTGAAGCAGCTTTAGTCCGCATATTCGGGCTCTGGTCAGTGCATGCACGTACAGCACAGGTGTGCCTGAATGCTAATTTCAGTTGCTCCCTTGTCACAAGGGGTCGCAACATCGAATCGCCCTGGATGCTTTGATTTGGCAGAGCTCTACACTGGAGGTGTTCCTGACGCAATACCAAAGGGTTTTGTGTCTTCAGCTAGAATCAAACAAGTGACCTTTCTCTTACCAAGCAAAAGTGCAAACTACTACACTATGGAGGCACTACAGCTGTGTGCATGCATTTTATATGCTTTGTTTACTGATTATGCATTATACGATTCTTTTTCCCAGTGGCGAGGCTGAAGAACTGCAGAACTAGACAATGATATTGGACTCTCATCTGAAGGTTGGGGTTGTGTTCTAACATTGCAGGGTCTTTACTTTAGAGCATGAAGTGCCTTGAGGTGACTCTTATTGTGAATTGGTGCTATGTAAATGAATAGTATTGAACTGAATTGAATACTCTGTTCAGTTAGGGTGTGTCTTACATGTAAAAGTAACTAATAAATGAAAAGTATTCAGTCACATTCCATTTTTTTGTTATCCTATCTTCAAGTATTTACAACAATACACAAAAACCTTCTTCCAGGCTTTCTGCTTTTTGCCCATTAACTTTTACCTGTTACGATGCTGTTATGATCGCTTCCAGGTATCCAAGACAAAAGAACATTCCTTGGACTGTCAAGTTCGGACAGGTCTAACTTTATCGGAGCATCAGGAACATCTGCCGTGCAGAACAAAAGAGCCGTCAACCGTCAACGTGATAACTAAAACATCTAGAGAATCTCAAATGTGTTAATGAACAAATACCAGAATATTTATTTAACTGTTTGAAGCCAAATCATTTCCAAAAATGTGCGATAAATATTTAACCATACATCATTCATCTTACCCCGTACAGTGAGTACTGCAGTGGCAGAGTCCTCATCTAGGCTTGTTCTAGCAGTGCATGTATATGTTCCCTGATCACTCAGGTTTACATTCATGATCTCCAGCATGGCACCTTTCACAGAGTATCTGAACATAAGTGAAGATTTGTCAGAGTAAGTAATTTCAATCCACCTCTCAAGCAGAGGCCCCTCCACCAAAGCTGCATAATAAAAGAGAATTTAAAGCCATGCATAATTTAGTCATGCTAGCCTTTTATTATCCAGTAAGTGCACTGGTTGATGCTACAGCCTAACTTTCTAATGTCTGTAACTAAAACCGTAGCATGTTAAACGATAGATAGAGATGAGCAGACAATATGTCAGCAAAATGCATCCTCCGATCAAGATACACATAAAAGTTTATATTGATGAATTCATTATTCTACTCAGTAAGAGCATCAGCATAAAAGCACCATCAAAGCAAAACCAGTTACCTGGAATTTTTCTCAGAGGAAAGTGGGATCTCCTTGTTTTCCTTTCTCCACACCAGCTCAAACGTGTCCTGCAGACTTGCATCATATTCAGTCTTGCACATCAATTTGGCCAACTTCCCACTGTCAACCTGCGTGTTCTGAGGTGGACCTACAATTTTTGTAGCGTCTAAAGATAACACAAAAACCAGGGGGGAAAAACACAAGTGAAATAATCCTCACAAGCCCAGCTTGATTTAAATAGCAATGAAATTGAGCCAAATCATTGATTTCATAAATGACTGTTTATGGCTGGAACTTCCTTCAACATACATTCAACATATATATATGAGAGAGACTGCCTAGCTTTAACTACTTATTAAACTACTTAAAGCACAGAATATTCAAAAGAAATACATTCCTTCTTTTCTTCTTTTTACCTTTGTGCGCAGCGACTACGAATATCCCTGCCTACAAAAAGCAGTAATTATGTTGCTGAGATACCTTTCACATCCAGCACAGCAGTGACAGCCGACGAGCCCTCCATGTTACTCGCAACGCAGATGTATTTCCCGCTGTCACCTTTTTCTGCGTTAATGATTTTCAATGATTGTCCGCTCTCAAAAGCAAGGAAACCTTCCCCCTCGATGGCTTTTTCATCTTTGGTCCTAGGAGAGAAAGTTTTCAACTTTACTTGGCGCTTCCACACAACTTATCCAACACCTCAAATGCAAATCAAAAGGTGCCGATTTGCTGCAAGTTCAGAGTTTGAAAGCGTCTGGTGTTTTCACTTTTGCGACTTTAAAGAATGTCATATATTATTCCGTGTTTTATTTTTAAGGGCTTGAAAAATAGGAGGCAACTAGATCCTATCATGTGACCTATTGAGGTCACCTGAGACAAGGTGTGAGTGGGGGTTGAAGTATTCAAAGGACTGCGTTGTAGGTGGCTGATGTAGGTCAACGATGGTCATTCACAGCAGACAAAGATGGCCTCCTTTACTCCTTTTTCAAACCATCTTGATGCAAAAATGAGAACTTTGCCATCCTCAAAATATTTTTTGTCCTTTAGGTGTAAATGTACAGGTGAGTCTCATCCTGTGGAAGTGGCTCTTCTATGTTGTTTGTGGAGTGGCTGTTTGATTTCTCCAGTGTAGAGCTCCAAGCACTCCTTTATCCTTGGGATGAAGAAGTTTTTCAAGCTCCCAAGACCACCACTAAACTTTAACAGATGGGCTACACAGTTTACTTAATTAAAGCAACACACAGGGTTGCTGATTAGAAATGAAGCGCAGGTTTTCTACAATGACAAGTTCTATCTTAATATTTGGCATTTGTGGCATCGTCTGTGTCTTGCCTCGGACTGTCTGTATCTCTTTTGAGCAGCAGTGATAGTAAATGGGATTCATGTTGCCCAATTTCAAGGAACAGAAGATGATTATCTCATTAACCAGACATAAGTGTCAACATCACAGCGTGTCATACAGACACCTGAAGCAGTGTGGGAGTGATAGCATGACTCACTGCTGTGATAGTGCTCTCGGGTTCATTCTTTAGACTGCTTCTCTTTACACTCTTCCACATTAATATGTAAAAGTGACTATTTCTTATGTTTTAAAAGGCAGGCAAGTGTAAATTACTAATGACGCTTTTAACTTGCTTGCTTGTCTTACTTGTTAAGACAAACCCAGCTCTACTTACCAAGAGATGCTGGATGGTGGAGAGCTGAAAACACTGCAGTTCATGGTGATTTCCTTTCCTACTACTGCAGCATACTCCTGGTTGTTCTCTGTCAGTATAAGCGGAGCCATATCTAAAAGCAAGAGGAAGGAGATGACTCAAATGCCAAAGAAAATACAGATAATCACAGGCTCTGGTAACACTGCACAATTCTACTGATCCAAGAACATGATCTTTCTCAGTCCTGTGCCCTAATCCATAGATACGCACCAGTTAGTTATGTCAAGTCCCCACAGCTGGATCAAACACGACTGTAGAGATAAAACTATTTGCCTGTTAAACAATACTTTAATGGACACAAACTAAATGGACGTGATCTTCATCATCAGTAAATTTAGTTCCATCTTTCGAATGACTTTTCTAATTTTCACATATTCGTGATTGATAATTGATCATGAAAGTAATTTGCACATATAAGATCACCGCATTTTGGTCATTTGAGGCAGCTAAGATAATAGCTAAAAGGAACAAAATGCTGTTGGTGTCCTGCGGTCTTGAAACCAGATGTGAAGATAGAGACACAAGGCAGGTCCACTCTAACACATATGCTGTTTTATCATTGTTTTTGATGCTGTATCAGACCAAAACTTACAAAGATCATTCAGTGAGTCCGGGAACTAGCAACTGAAAATTGTAGAAAACTAGATCAGATCCCTAAACCCTAACCAAGGAAGGTAAAAAAAAAAAAGGCAGATTAGCTTGGGTAAAAGACCAAAACACGTGTGAAGTTGAGGCACACAACAATGTGTTTCGCTGGTAAAGTTTCTGGGCTGCCTTTCCTCATAACAGCCATCCCTCAAGATTTTCTCCATTTGAAGCAAAGCATTATCAGGGATTCTAACACGTAGTCCTTTTACTGAATAAGTATAATAAGTATTAGAATAATCTTAATTTATTTTATGTATTTATTTGGCTGAAATCTACAAATTCCTCCTAAAGTGTTGCTAAATTTTTCACACTGGTCCTTTAATGTCTCCTGGTGACTCATGCCTTAGAAGTAATATTAACAACTAACATTAACCAAGTGTTAAAATGTAGTAAATTAGTTACTCAACCTTAAAAACTGGATAATCTAAGAAAGGAGTTTTTATTCAAGGCTGTCCAACCTAAGCAATTCTTGCTGCTAAGACTGGCACAGACCAGTAGTTGCTTTTTCCTCCAGGTATCTTTGAAGAACTTTTTAAAATGATCATTTGAAAACTACATTTGTATTTACTGGGGTTATCTTTGTGTAATATTAAAATGTGCTTAATGATCTAAATCATTTAAGCATAACAAATACTCAAATAACTAAGAAATCAGTTACACTGCAGTTAGTCAATACGCTGAACCCTGAAATTGCTCCTGATGATCAGGCTACGCTTGCATTAGAGCTCCTTGCCACCACTGTGTGAATGAGAGGAAAGAAAGAAAAGAGGTGCTTTGGATAAAGGCTCCATTATCATTTCTAAAGAATACTACAGCAAATGGAAGTCCACTCAGACTTCAGCTGAAAGAAAACTCTTCATTCACCCTAATAGGCAAATAATGATTAGATGTGGATCTTAGATGTACAATGATAAGATACTGGAGAAAATCTCAGGGCTATGAAGCAGTGGGTGTAAGTGTTTCTTCTTATGAATCATACCAGGAAAACAATCTCTATCAGCAAAAATAATGAGACTGGCTAAAGAAAACTGGCTTCCAGTACAGTTCCTTATAGCATATTATTATAAGATGTTATATTATGAGCTACTTTTTAGGTAAAGCACTACAACACAGAACTTACTCATGATCACGATGTTAACGTTGGCTAGAATATTTCCGTGTCTGTTGGAGGCTTCACACTGGTAGACGCCACTGTCCTCTGCTTTGGCATTGAAAAGTATCACAGTGTCATCAAACACTTGCATCCTCTTATCTGGGTCATCTGACAGCAACACAGACACAAATAAATTACCAATTTTATCATCATAAAAGCAACTCAATATATCAACATGTTCTTTTCAGGATAGCACCAGCATCAGTGTTGGATAATTCTGTAAAAAATCTAGATGTTTTGAATACAACTTAAATATATAAGAGTCAGATAGCAGCTTCTCTTTAATATAACCTTTTAAAAACCCACGTAATTATGTGTATATTGCCACATTGCCACAACACATTTCCTTTTGAGAAATTTAATAATATTCAAAACAAATGATTCCTACTCAGACACTGTACAAGAGAAGGCACCAACTACTTTTAATTAGCGCATGCTTCTGTTCAGCATACCTTGCCTTTCAACTTCTGAAGGAGAAAAATAAAATCTGTTATCTCATCATTTCAAACACTAAGCAGACTGTTGCCTGTCACATTACTCCAGCTTGACGTCAGGGATAGCTGCTCATTGCACTGCCCTCCTGCCCGGAGGCGCAATATGAATTAAACCACATCAACAATTATTCTCACTCACCTCTGAACATTACTCCATTCCTCCTCCACGTTATTGCTGGTTGTGGTTTTCCACTGACGGAGCACTTGATGTGCACATCAGACCCAATCACAGTGAGCTGGCTCTGAGGAGGCTCTGTCAGCCACTTTGGTGGCTCTGGGAGATGTTAAGAGGAGTCATGATGATTTCAGATAAAACAAACAGCCATCCACGTGTCAAGAGCTTTCTCTTTGATGCAAATAAACAAATGTGCCCACAAATAGAAGCGTAATTAGCTCCTGATGTTGACTAACCTTCCACTATTACATCAAAGTAGTGGACAGCCTTCCCAGCAGAGTTCTCGGCTGTGCACATGTACTTCCCCTCATCACTCTCTTCCACTGCTGATAAGCTCAACAGCTTGTTGTAGTTGTTAAATTTTACCCGAGGAGTCATGACTTCTCCCATTTTTATCCACTTCACAGATGGTGTAGGGCTAGATTGTGAGACAATAGCGTGTTAACACCGTAATGAACAAAACGGTTATTTATATATGGTGACAACATGACTGCAGAAGCGATGATACAGAATGTGCACTTACAATCCCTCGGGTATACATTCGAGCTGTAGATCCTCTCCCTTCAACAACACCTTCTCAGTCTGAACACCAGAGGGCAGCAAAAGGCTGGGTATTCTCGCTGGGGGGGCCACAGCTGCATCGAAAGCAGACAATATCATTTCTTGCTCTGATGTATAATTTTATCCACTTATTTTCTAAACTGCACACACGCTTTATTGTCAATTTCTAGTGGCTGTTCAGATAATATGAAAGAAAGCTTTGATGTGTGGTTATCACTCACGAGTGTGGCTGCTCTCTGAAGAGTCATTGGCAGGTTTTACTGGAACATAAAAAAACATAATAAAATACAGGAGCAATTTTACTGGAAGTAAGAGTGTTGGCTTGTTTTCACCAACAAAAGTTACACAATCAGCAATATCAGTCATCAGTCTGAGTCATAACAAAAACTTCCTTCAGCATTAACATGACAAGGCAAGCCCTGCTTCATTACAAGATCAAAAGTTGCTTTGAAGAAGTCGTAGTGATTTGGTCATCTTCGATTGTGTGATAAGATGAGATGTACCACACGTAACATTTTTGCAGGTCTGATATTGACAAAATGCTAAACAAGTGAGCTACAGTGCAGTTTCCAAGCCAGAGAGACTTTGTCATAAACCTACAAGGTTTGACCACGACAGCCATGGCGTTTTTCTGGACAATTGTGCGTATCCTGTTGAAGGCAGCAAAGCAACCGTAATCCTGGCGACTGTCATTCTTTAAGGCATTAGAGAAGTACAGGTTGCCATCAGTTCCCATGGAAACCCTCTCATTCTGCTCAATGTGCTGCAGATCTGGAAAACAACATAGTTGTATAAATAATGTGAAATCATTGTTACAACAATTGTAACTCTTCATAGCATGTGCCTAGGAAATTCATGTTGGCTGATAAGAAGGTGCCAATTGGACAGAAACTTTTAAAGGGTGCATCAGAGGGACTTTTTTTTAGATGATAACACGTCAAATCAGCCATGCCTGAAAATTAACTGCAGTGTGGCCTAATATCTTATATGGAAGTTATTCTCTAAAGAGTGTTCTTGCAAAGACCTGGTGAACTCATAAGTGCACTGCAACAGAATATAAGGTATATATAGCCAGTATTTCAATAATGGATCGGTGACACGCACAACTGTGCACGCAAAGCAGACACAGAGATGTCACCAGATGGACAACATCTGTTTAGTTTTTTAAGCTTAATGGCAGCCTTTCGATTCCACATTGCATCTTGTATCAAGAAACTAATAAAAAAAAACAGATTGAAACATAATATAAAACAACAGCTCTGCACAAGTGTTTTCATTCATTCTGCCCTATGGCTTTGGATCTATCCTTCTGAGCAGCTGAAAGCCTCTTAACTTTTTCTTCCTGACATCAGTCAGGTTTGTTGGAGGAGGTTGAGGATCTTCAGTGAAGTACTTCAGACACAACTGAGGTGACCTTATACACAGTGAATCACTTTCTCTGGCAGTGGTGGAGGGAAAAGAACCCCGATGTGCAATAAACACTTGGACCTCAAGTGTGTACCTTTACCTGAACTGTCTTTACTGTCACTGCTAACTTTGCTGATAGCCGGAGGATACAATGTGTCACCAGCCACATTCATCTGTGGGGATTTTCTGGTGCAGTCAGACGGAGATTCACACTATCTAAAACTACCCCAGCTTTGAGCGCTCCACAGTGCAAGTCCAATAACAAACTCAGGAACAGCAAAGGCACCGTTATGGTTTAAACTAAGTACTTTTTGTTACGTCAAACACCTTCCGAACTACTAGATGCAACATGTCAATCATAGACAGTAATGGACTGCAGTAGTCATTTGACCACACTGACAATTATGCTGTAATTGACCGGATATGTGGAAAATTAGGAAGCCAGGAATCTTTATATTATGTGGTTGGCACATTTATGCCCCAAGTGTGCAAAGCAGATCAAAGCATGTGGTTAAGCTCTTCCTGAGACACTACTCCTTTTTCCTGAATTTCTGGGTGCCTATTTGAACAATTTCAATAGCACTCATTAGAACATATGACCAACTTTACTAAAAAGTGGGGCTTTATCATGTAAAAATACAATAGTTAGTATGCGTTTTTCCTTTTTCATCTACAAACCATTGAGGAAAAATTAAAACACTACCTTGAGTGTTGCTGTGATCTTTTAAGCAGTGCTTTTAAAGCATTTCCTGGAAAAATGTTTGTCGATAGACTATCATTAGGCAGGTCAGCCTACTGATGAAGCACTGCTGCATTAATAATCCAGTTCAGTATGAGAGAAATTGTAGATTTAGACATCTGGTTCATCAATGTTGAGGAGCTACCATTATGACTGAATGCCTCAATATCACAATCCTGCCTAGACGCAGTGATACTGTAGTGTTGTGGACCTTTGGTTGGTCGTGCATAGCCAGCTCCACCCGGTGAAGGAGAGCTATGACTGGACTGAAGGACAGCTGAACAACAGTCACCCCTCTCCAATCTTACACTCCTGTTTGTGGAGACCCTGGTGATCAATACAGCTCCAAGTTCCTGTGGAGAAGCTGGGGCTGTATTTATTACTGCATTAAATACAGCATCTGGTTCGCCACAAACATGAGTGCGAGCCTGGAGCGGGGTAATAATCGTTCAGCTGTCCCCCAGTCACTTTTAGAAAAACTGCTTTGAAGCAGTAATAAGAGTTGTTTTTTCTTTTTAACAAATTAATAAACTGGAATACGCAATATATAAATCACAAAAATGATAAACCGCCTCATGGCTTACCAACAGTCATCCAGTAGATAAGACGTGGGGCCACACCTTCTGGTGGGTTGCATTTCAGGGTGATTGGTTCTCCCTCACTAACAACAATGGGACTGAGGGTTTCCTTTGGAAACTTAGGGATACCTAGTTGAAAAGCAAATGTTCAACAACATGAAAAACAAAACAGTGATGACATTGAAATGCAAAATTCTGGGTTTTGATCTTTTTTATCTAAAGATTACTTACTGAAAGCTTTAATCTCGATCTCATTTGTCATAGCAGTTCCCAACTTGTTCGATGCGTAGCATCTGTATTTTCCCTCGAACTTGGACATGTCTTCACTCTGAAGCACAAGTAAGCCCTTTGTCTGGTTTGCTCTGATTGTTTGGAAGTTTGGGGGGACAAATGCTTGGCCATCCTTTTCCCATCTGTACCTGTTAGAGCAAAATACGATTCACATCCATGCAACTGATCAAGGCTTCAATGTTTGGCTTGTTTGTTTTTTTCAACTCATGTCACTTGACAACACTTACTCTGGTGGTGGATTGCCCCGGGCTTTACACTTGACAGTAATGGCCGTGTCAAAATGAAGTACAATTATGGGACCTGATGTATACGTTATTATGGTCGGAGGCTGTTCCACTATGAAATAAAGCCACATACAAAAATCTTTACTGAACGGTGACAGGTAACACTAAAGTTGTTGAAGTAAATAAGATATAATACACACAAGTGTATACCAGCCATACTGCACAAATAAAGCCTTGAACGGTCAAACACAATGATAATAATAATAATAATAATAATAATAATAATAATAAACACAAACTTACTCTTACTCAGTTTATGTCAATTAGCTTTAAAAAGCCGTAAAAATGAGTGTTGATTCTGTGGATCTTACGGTATTCACATGAAGCAGAGCACAGGCATTCCATGTGAATTTAACTGTGTTAAATGACTCTTCATATTTCAGCACAGCACAAGTAAGAACTAGTAAGCACTTGTGTCATGACACTCATACCTTCTAGAGGGATATTAAGGCCTGAGGCCATGGTGGTCAAGGCCAAAAGCAGACGAAGCGACAGGCTCCCTGCCAAAGTCATCACCCTCCACTGGAGACAACAGAGATCAGGAGAATGTGTTGGTCAACTGCTGTCACTTGTAATTTGGAAGGCAAAGAGGACCTGTAAGAGTCAGAAAACAGAAGTCCTACGCTCAGTAATTCAACCATAAAAGCCCTACAAAGAGTTTTCAATGACCTTCTTCTAATCGCTGACTCTGGGCGCTTAGTTCTATTGGATTTGACTTCAGCCTTTGACACGGTTGACCATGATATCCTTTTGGCAAGGTTGGAACAAGTAGTAGGCCTTAAAGGAAATGTTCTATCATGGTTTAAATCATATTTCTCTGAGAGGTCGTTCTCTGTCATGATGGGAAAATATTCCTCTTCTTCTGCCCTTTTTCGCTGTGGTGTGCCCCAGGGCTCGGCATTGGGTCCTGTGTTGTTTTCTCTGTACATGCTGCCCTTCGGCTCCATTTTTGAAAAACATAATGTCTCTTTTCACTGCTAAGCTGATGATATTCAAATCTACCTCCACCTGACTGGGGATGTTTCATCTTCACTACATCCTCTGTTTGATTGTCTGAGGGATGTCAAAGACTGGTTATCACGTAACTTTCTTACTTTAAATGATAGAAATATGCCTCTGGGACAACTGACTGGCACACTCGGGCCTGTTGCTAACCACCTCACTGATGCTGCTAGGAATCTTGGAGTTTTCATGGATAGTTCCTTCAAACTAGATAAACAGGTTTCTACTGTGGTAAAAACCAGCTTTCACCAACTACGCCTAATTTCTAAGGCTAAACCTTATATACCACGCAAAGATCTGGAGAAACTCATTCATGCTTTCATCACTTCAAGACTGGATTATTGTAATTCTCTCTACTTGGGCCTACAATCTTCTCTTCTTCAGCGATTGCAGCTGGTCCAAAATGCTGCAGCACGTGTCTTGACCGGCACTAGAAAGTATGATTCTATCACCCCTGTTCTGGACAACTTACATTGGCTCCCTATTAAATATCGAATTGATTTTTAAAATGTTATTGTTTACTTATAAAATCCTAAACAATATGGCACCTGTCTACCTAGCTGATCTCCTCTGTCTGTATAGCCCTCAGAGAGCACTAAGATCAGGCCAACTGCTCTTAGTGCAACCTGGTCTCGGCTGAAGACCAGAGGAGACTGTGGCTTTGCCGTTGCCGCACCCAGGTTATGGAATACTCTTACTCTTCATATGCGCGCATCAGATTCCATTCAGTCTTTTAAATCACGTCTAAAAACGTATTTGTTTAACCTGGCATTCAAGGCTAATTAGGGTAATTTACATCTGGCTTTGCATTTAGATTATGTAATTATTTTTATTTTTTATTTATATCTGTAATTTATATTTTATATTGTGATTTTTATCTGTATCATGATTTTACTGGAAAGCACTTTGGTGTACTTCGGTCTTTAAAATGTGCTATATAAATAAATTTTGATTGATTGATAAAGCACAGACAGGCTCATTTCTGAAAGTCATCAAAGGTGTTGTTGAAAACACATAATGCAATAACAATCCTAGTTAAAAATATATTAAATGTTCTTCCTTAGTTTGTTATTTTAAATATGCTGAATGATTTCTGAACAGGCTCCATGATAAATATCAATGGATTACAAAACAAAGCAAACTTAATATTCTGAAAACGGTCAGTTTAAAGAAGCTGTGACTGCTTGATGCAAGATATCCTATTGAAGACAACAGCCATTTCATGTCCTTCATTGTTGTGAAGTTGTGGCAGAGCACTTGTTTTGTGATTACCCTTTGAACTGTAAAGCCTGGCTGGTGGCATCGCATGACATGCTTACAGTAAACCCGACTGGCACAAAAGCTAAGCTGCTGTCTGCAACGATCGCTAGATCCAAGATGGCAGTTTATAAATTGGTCTAAGCCCGTCACTGTTTCACGGCTTAGCTCTCACAGTGTTGAGACTGTGGCAGCAGCACCGGCAATGCCAAATGGGTTCACCCTCCAGTTAATCCTGCTATCAGTAGAATGAAGTCGGTGAGCTCCAGCAGTCATACAGTACGCTGCTTAACAATGGCTGAGCGCTACTCTGGGTTCTTCTAAGGACACATGGCTGCATGTGCTGCTCCCACTTAGTGAGCAAGGTTAATGTGGTGATTGTTATAGACTCGATTTAGGATTAAGCCACTCGAATTTAGAACCAATTAAACAAATTAAGAGAGATTGCTGCAAAGTATTGTTTGCAATAAGGTCTTATTGTGATTATCTTTCCTGAGTTGGAACAGTTACAAAGCTTGTTAGATGTTTGTTCCAGTGGAGTGAACAAACATTTTCATGCTGCAGTGAAGCTGGAAGCCACGCTTATTCTAGTCTGGTACAACAGTAGTGTGTATTTCAAGCCCAGAGGAAAACACACACTCGCACACCGGCACACACAGATAAAGTTTTTCCACTGGAGACCACCCAGAGTACCACTGCACTGGCATTAAAAGCAACTTTAGTGACAGTGTTGAGATTTATGTGACAGGAAGAAAACTCCATCAGCCAAACAGACTCTGCAAAGTCGTCTTCAGGCAAGAGGCCCGCAAGTCCTCAAGTGACACAGGAGGGGGGGAAAAGGAAGCTCGAGCTTTTGAAAAGATTTTCAGTTATCCTAACAACACGACAACAGATTTTAGGCCAATTTCATTCATGTGGTACAAATGCACCGTTGGTTGCTTTGTTGGTCAGGCAAATTACTCAACTCTGCACACACATCGAGATCTGCAAACCTGCCACTTCACTGAGAACTCAAACAAAGCTGACATAGTCCATTTCAAAAATCCTTGGAGCATAAATGGGGTGGAGTCACTATGTAAACACATAACAAAGGATTTGTTTTCGGAGCTGAGAGATGCATTACCTGACACATGACAGCTCATAGCCACAAATCCACAGGGATTGTGTAACCCAGGCTAATACCTGGCCAGAAGAGAGTGTGTCTTCTACATGACTAATCCTTGTCAGCCCACACTGTATACAATGATCTCCTCTACTTCCTTAAAAGCAAACTTAGTACAGCCTTTCCTCGGACAGACCAGAAGCTCTGCAGACTGTGCATGTGCAGCTGCAGAGTACAGGCTGCAAACTTACAGACAACTGATTTTATGTCATTCCACTCAAATACAGAGGGAGTAAGCACAGAAACCAACCATTTCCCAAGGACTACAAATTAGCCTGTTCATGAAGTAACCAATACTTACAGTTTTTTGAGTCATTTGACATCTTATGTCCACCTCTAGCAGAGGCTCAAGGCAGCAGCCCTACAAGTCCGCATAAAAAGTACAGGACCTCCAGGGGATCATTCCAACAACTCTCTCTGAATCAACATCTCTGACATGTCCTTTCCTCCTCCACCTCACGTTGCTCCCCTCCTGGTACACAGACACGCCTCCCTGCCCGCCCCTCTACTCAAGCAGCTCAAGGAGCGACAGGAGACTCACTGAAGTGACATATGTCGCCAAAGCCTCTCACTTGGCAAAGAAGCTCTCTAAGCCTGTGACAATAACTGGGACAAAGGGTGCACTGCGGGGCTACTCAGTAAGCATTAAAGAATGGGTGGAGAGGAAGCGCAGGCATGTCTGTCCCCCTCTCCAGCTCACTCTCTCTCACCCTTTTTCCTTGATCTTTCCATCCTGCCCTCTACAAACTATGCACGCCCATTTACACCGGGCTCGGTCTCAATGATTTTAATGCAGTGTGTCTTAGCTCCATTGAAAAGAGAACGGAGTCATCTTCTCTCAGAAGGCCAGATCTTTTGTGGAAGTGTACTTTCATTCCCATGCAGTGCTCCAGGGTATTGATAGACGGAGGCATGGAAAAACATGTCTGAAACAGACTCGATGGCACTGATAAAAGGCATGACTTGGCTTTACCTTCCTGTATTTTCTCAAGGTAGTTTCTTATCTGGAGATATGTTACGAAGGTTGCATTTCTCATTCAGCTATTCAAACAAATATTCCTCGTATGTAGAGCCACTGATGTTATCTAACTGTAGTTCCCTCAGCAGGTCTTGTTTATATTCCAAGTAAAAAAAGAAAAGAAAAGCAGGGATTTGCAATATGGGCAAGACATATTAAATTGGTCTTGCATTTGTTCCAGATTTGTTTTACAATACTGTACCTTAGACATCATTTTTTTTTATTCTAATGGAGACATAATGACTGAACTAAGAGGGTGAAGAATTCTCATGGTGCCTTGTAGGGTCATCCAAGCAGGAAAAAGAGCTGACATTTACTCTCTAGTATATTAAAGTCTGAAGACTGCTAGTGTAAGCTCCTTGCTTGGCTTAAACAATATTCTCTCACTTTTAAGACATCTATAACCCCAATTAAAAAGTAAAAATAAGCAATTAAAGAAAAAAAAGAAAAGCATTTGCACTAAAATTAGAAGTCTAAATATCTTAACAATCTGTCTACAATTACATTTAGACTTTTTTCTTTTTTGAATAAAGAAAGAAACCTCAGGAAGCTGCACTTTTTAGTTTTACTGTTCAGCTTTTTTACTTTTAAATCAAAGCGTTTTATTCACTTGACTACAGTTTAACCTAAAGTCACTTTTAGCACTGAAGGGCTGGACATAATTATGCACTTCATTTAAGAGAGCTGTCATCGCTTTAAATGAACCTATTCCATGTTTAGAAGAGCACAGTTCCTGTAAACACATAAAAACTTAAAAGGCCAAGCCTCTTACAGACTTCCGAATTCAGTCATCGTTTGACATGCTATTAGGCTGAATGGGCATTCAGATTAACGTGAATAAAAAGACAATCGCTGTAGCACGACCACTTATCTGATCTAAGTAAATACATCCAGTATAGAGTTACCTCGTTAAAGGTGGCTGCAGCAGGCACGAATTACAGCCCGATGAAAAGGAGAGAGGAGAGACTGTGTACGTTTGTGAGTGTGTGTGCGTGTGTGTCTGTGTGTGTGTGTCTGTGTGTGTGTATACGGATATTAACATTTTTGTGGGGACCAAAATTGGAAGTTTACTATACTTGTGGGGACCAACAGCCCTTATGAAGACCAAAATCCTGGTCCCCCACAAGTTTGAAGGCGTTTTTGAGACTCAAAATGTGGTTTTAGTGTCAGGGTTATGGTTAGGGTTAGGGTAAGGGACTAGCAAGGCATGGATGATCTGATATCCTCGTGTTGGTGTTGTTCCCAGACCATCATGAAAATGTTGTTCCAGGTTCAACATTGCAAGTGACCAATCACATTGTTGTGACGTTATTCTTTTGCGCGCCAAGTCATTCGTGCATTTATGAAATTCCAATGTTGCAAGGACAATATCAATTCTGCTTACTGTTTATTAAAGGGTTATGTTTAGGGTTAGGGTTGGAGTCAGGGTCCGTTGATCGGCGGACAGAGGCGGTTTCACGCAGCTTAAGTACAGTTTTTTGTTTTACGCCGGTGTTTCCCGAAGTCGCAAAAGTATGACGTCACAACATTCTGATTGGTCACTTGCAATGTTGATCCTGGAACAACATTTAGTATGATGATCTGGGAACAACACCAACTCGAGGATATCAGATCAACCAGCAAGGCATTATGTCAATTAGATGTACCCACAAGATATGAATACCCGACATGTGTGTGCATGTGTGTGTGTGTGTGTGTGTGTGTGTGTGTGTGTGTGTGTGTGTGTGTGTGTGTGTGTGTGTGTGTGTGTGTCTCTCAGCATGTGTGTGTCCATGAAATAAGGCAGGTTGCCCGCCGATTGCTTAAAAATTCTCCTGAGAATTTTATGTTTTGTGGCATTGACCTAATATATTGTCCACTGTGTTTTAGTCTTTCGGCTATTTGCTAACTAAACCCCATCAAATTCTTGTGATTGGGACAGTCACCCGCACCTTCCCAACTCTAAGTCTAACAGCCTTGCTCTTTCTTAAACTAGACAGGACCAAATATTTGCTATTAAACTGTGTTAACTGACAAAAAGAAAAGAAATGATATACTCCAGATTCACAGTATCGTTATTCTAATTATAGCCCACTCCATAAATGACTCAGCTTAGCAAAGCTCCTACACAAATAAATAAAGAGCGTTCCAGGAGAATGGACAAAAAAAGTGTTTTCAGAGTCTCTGCTCATGACCAGCTTCACTGTGTTTGTTAAATCCACGCATCGCTTTTAAAACAAACGACAGAAACACGTCATTTGCAAATTCCACCCTTTCATGTTTTAAGGAGACTTTCGGTTCCCTGCAGCGTAGCCCTCCCCAGTACCTTTGTCATAATGCATGTCCATTCTGATAATTACAAGGCTTCTTTCTACAGACTTCATGGTAATTGCAAAATATCTACCAAACAAACTTGCCTTCAAAAAAGCTTGACATACAATAATGGAGCAGGGCGCGTAGTACGAGATGACTAGGTTAAAACAACAATACATGTCTGTGACGTGCATACAATGAGTATCATCGAAGAGAGGCACACCTATGCTTTAAGTCGCAACGGCAGCTAAGATTGTAACTCATTCTTTCACATTCTTAGATGTTGAGTTACAATTTCAGTGTGTCAGGTGACAAAAGCGCACAGGAAAGCATGACTAGTTTTGCTGTCAGCATTGAAATGGCAGCTATCGGGTTTCTGACGAACATCTGCTGGCAAACAACTTCTTCAGAAAACAATATAATCATGAAGAATATTTGAATCAGAACTACTATGTTACAGAGTACCTTTGATTTCATAGTAAATAATAGTTATTTGGTTAGATTAACTATTATAACTAACCCAAGCTGCCGTTCTATTCAGATTGTTTAGAGTTTGATCTACAAAATTGGAGAAAAAAAACTAACACCCAGACAAAATAAGTGTAAGCAATGTTTTGTGGAAGTGGAACTGATATTTCAACTGTCCACAATTATGACAAAACCTGAGATCTCTTCAGATAATGACTGGTTTCTTTCTATGATTTCTTTACCTACTCAATCTCGCTGATGGGTAAGTATTGGTAGGCCACTCGTTCCAGCTGTAATAGTATTAAAAAACAAAAAAATGTATTCAAAAATACAGAGCCATCTTAAAAACTACCTGTACTCACCAGTAAACTGGTACAGTTCCAGCTCAAAGTGGCTGTGATACAATATTAGCATTAGTGATATGTAATGTGGCCATAACTGACCTGTTTCCCCTGTCAACAGCAACAACGTGCCTGCTCCTACCTCCACATTCAAAGCGTTGATCTGTAGTAACTTGTTCGTTTCATCGTTTCACTTTAAGTCCTTCAAGCAATTAAACATGCCGGTAATCATCTATGCCCGGAATTCACACAAACAGCTCCCTGACATACATCAAACATTTCCACATCAAACCTGTGCTGCCGGTGTTATGTAAAGAGGCCGGAGCTCTCCGCTTTACACTCTATACAGGCATAACAGGTTTAAAACCACAGATGTGCAGCAGCTCACATTCGAAACTAGAAAAAGCTACAAAAAAAACATTGTAATGCATACAAAGGCACGTGGCAAGTTACACATAAAAATGCTCCTTGTGCTATTAATCACTCTCCTGTAAACACACTTGTCTTTGTGCTCGTTTCCTGAAATTCATCTCCTCCGCAGATTTGTTCTGAAATTTCAAACACCACACAGATTTTCAGTCATTAACACATGCTCATTCAGTTTAGCACCACAACAGAGGTTTCCTTGCGTCACTGCCTAATGTGAATGTAACTTGCAAAGCACATGTGCTTTGCGCAGGCCTGATGAGTGTGTGTTGCTCATGAAAGTGCTGCCAAGCTCACTCAGTTGTGCTTTAAGTGCTTCCCGCTGTGGAACACAGTGATTTGTGGAGTGACATGTGAAGAGCTGCCTCAATAAACAAGAGCTAGCCTGGCACGCAAATGGCACGCATTCCACGCACGCTATAAGGATTATAAATTCCTAATACTCAACCCACAGTCTTTAAATTTCACTATGCGCAGGATAGTTCATTTGCAGATCTTTCATCTCAATAGAAATGATGTGTTTTCTTTAAAAAACTGCTAGATAAACTGAATTTCCATTCATAGAAAAAGTCAAAGTCCTCTGAGTGAGACAGCCTATAAAAGAACATGAATCACTATTGAAATATGTCCCTTGCAGTTGTAGGGTGACAAAGGGTGGCATTCAGAAGCTTAATCAGTTTCCATAGCTAGCAGCAAAGAGACAGACAGTTTGGAGACAAGCTGCCACACTCAACTTCCTCCCTTCAGACAGTCAGGCCACAAGAAGACCTCATCAAACCTGTCTTCATCTCAAAACATTGTTCATCACCGTTGCAGAGAGGCAGATAAAGGAGCAGTGTTGTGCTCTGTTGTCTGAACTAAGCCGGTAATTAGTTTATGGGATAATCTCGAAGGCCTAAAGTGGTATTTAGCTGGGTTAGTAAAGTCTTGTAAGAGTTTTTGCTTCAAAACAGTCATCTGTGCAGCAGCTGTCCTTCGTTAGTTTGCTTAACAAACTTGCAAAAGTTGTCAGTTAAAGCACAATGTTTACATTCTGACCAACTTTTGACATTATATGTTTCTATATTACAACAGAATTACTATTATTGAAGACATTAGAAGGAAATCATTTAATATGCCCCTATTGGCTTCTGTTTGTAATGTACTAAAAATGATCAACTCAGTTTTAGGTGTCACTGTGGCTTTTTTTTTAGCTATTGGGAGAACACATAATTCACATTGGCAGCAAATTTCATTTCATTCAAAGCAATGTTTCCAGTGACCCATAAACACATTGCTGTCACTGTTTGTGAAAGAAAGTAACAAATGAGAATGTGGTTTTCAGTCATAATTAATTCTTTTTGAAATGCCAGAGAATATGTGTATTCAATCTGTAGTTTTGTCATAGTGCATCAAGTATTTTGTGATGGATCCATATGGATCCACTGTTTGTAAGTGTAAAAAGAAATCAGTTCCACAGACAAAGTAATAAATCCTCACAGAAGAATGAAACTTGCCTCATCTTGTAGGATGAACACATAATTGCGGACACTCTCACTCTACTCAACATCACCTCTCACCTCGCCTTTTAAAGACTCAAAACACAGTTTCTGGCTGTTAAAACAGCAATCTTTGTATCATTTTTAAAAACATAAATTATTCTATCTCGCTTCAAACAAATTCAGCCCGCAGCCTCCTCAGTTAAGAAAAGCATTCACAGACACAGTTCAGGTCACTTTCATATGTGTGTGAGAATAAGAAGTGACATGAGTAACCAGCACAGAACGTGGATTATATCTATAACAGCCAAAAAATAAACAAATACCACAAGCAAAGGTAATTTATTATGTATCAACTAATTTAAAAAAGAATTCACTCGTGAGAAACTCATCAGAAATAAATTAGTTGTCTGCCTATTGTTGATGAGCTGGAAATAAATGAGTTTCAAAGCATCTGCTGCAACATGTCAAGAGAATAAGGCTCACGAGTCACTTCGAAGTTTTCCCTCAAACCTATACCGCAGAAATCTGCGGATCCCAGTAACTCAGTTAGAAAACTACAAAGCTATTTAGAAACCAACCGAAAAAGATGTTATCGTCGTCTACTTCACGTGGTGATCACTTTCAGTCAAATGCAATCTGATTTTGAAAATCGAGGTTTGTACTTGTCCAAGTAAGATGCTGGGTAAAATGTAAATAATGTGCATTTGGTGACTGTTATGGGCATTTCAGTACACTCAATGTTCTGTCTTGTTTAGGAAACCAGTTTGAGGTAATCTGAGCTTTGCAACATGGTCAGCTATCCTGCTGGAAGCAGCCATCATTGGACTGATACACTGTGATCATAAAGGGATGGTTATGGACTACAACAACTCAGTTAGACTGTGGCATTTAAATTATGCTCATTTAGTACTAAGGGGTCTAAAGTGAGCCAAGACTTTCCCCCACACCACTGCACAACCAGCATCAGCTTGAACCATTAATACAAGGCAGGATGGATCCATGATTTCATGTTATTTATGTCAAACTCTGACCCTACCATCAAAATGCAGAAGTCCATTAATTTTGGGTGAGCCTGCGTGATTTGCAGCTTCAGTTCTTAGCTTAGGGCACGCAGTGTGGTCTTCTGCTGCCATAGTCCATTTGTGTTTGGAGATGCTCTTCTGCATAGCTTGGCTGTTATTTGAGTTACTGTTCCCTCAAAGCCATCTTTTCACCAAGCGAACTTTTCTCTTTTGGGCCCTTCTCTGTAAACTCTAGGATAATTAATTATATGGGGAAATCACCTTAGTTGTAATGTAGCTCAGGAGGTAGAGCAGGTCACCTACTGATCAGATGGTTAGTGGTTCGATCTCTGGCTCAAGTTGCATGAGTGCAGCCATCGGAGTGTTTGTGAATGGTAGTTAGTAAGCACTTAAAAAGCATAGAAGACAGTGCTTGTGTGAATGGGTGAATGTGGCATGTTGCATAGCGTGCTTTGAGTACTCCGGAAGAGTAGAAAAGCACTACATGTGAATATAAAGTTACTTAAATTACCTTTGTTCCCCTTTCTGATGCTCAGTTTGAGCTACAGCAGATTATCTTGACGATGTCTACATGGCTTAATGCATAAAGTTGCTGTCATATGATTGAGTGATTCGATATTTGTGTTAATGAACAGGTGTACCTAATAATGTGTCCGGTTAGTGTATATCATCGATTAAATGATGAGAAGTCTCTCAACCTGCAGATTAATGGACTTTGACCACACTTGGGAATCCATGGTCTTCTCTGCAGCTTGGTGAGTGCAGCACAGCAGCACATGCAGTTATCTGCTGAGGTATGAAGATCATCACCAAATGTTGGCTGTCACTTGCATACAGCGATCCCCTGGAAAATGTTACGTATCTCAACTATGACATATAGAAATTCTTGGCACTGTCCACATCGTTGACAGCGTAAAAGGCAACTGGGGAATTTCAAGAATTGTTTGAGAAAAGGCGACAATTAGTTCTTCAGAATTTCAATCTGGTTTTTCCCCTGATTTCTTCCATATATGCCATGGCTCAGAGCCAGGTGCACTTGAGAAGATCGTTTGCCTTGGTAGGTTTAAGTTACTGTTGGGACAACTACCATAAGAGCTGTACCTTGCATCTCTCTGTCTGAGCAAAAGCATCACTGCTGTCTAACACAGGCTCATGACAGGGGTACCCCTGTGAAAGTGTCAGGGCCTTGCTTCATTAGCATTTTTGGAACACCATGAATGAAAGTGTTTGTTCTGGTTTGTGCGTCCAATTGAAAGGGTCCATTAAAGAGTGTTTTAGGGGCTCTTCTGTGTTAGGTCGGAAGTTTGGGAGCTGGTGTGTAGAGGAAAGCGCCAGAAGATAGACAAAAAAGAACAGACAGACACGACGCTACCTTTACCCTCCACCCACATTAGTTTATATGAAGACGACACACTGCTTTGCGTCTTTCAGTCACGAACAGGTGCGCCGCGTAACATGTGACAACAGCAATCAGAATAGTAAATGTTTCAACAAAGACTCAACAAGTTGGCAAGCTGTGATTAAAACCAGGGCGGCTCGTCCCACATTCAGAGCCAAGTATCAAGTGAAGTCTCATAACTGCACCTCAGAGATTGCAACATCCCCCCAAGCGACTCTGCTAGCTCGCAATTAGCAAATACCTCCACTTCTCACACAAGGTTACTACTAGGACTGAGGAAGCACTCTGGTAGCTTAGCAGTGAAAAATGAGACTTCAAGGTAGCACAAAATATTGCCATGAAGAAAGAAGTCTGACAGTTTTAATAGCTTTTTTAAGTAGTTACAAGTACACATTTTAAAACACATGTTACTGCTACAATTACAGTTAGGTGGAGCCCATGGACAGTAGTCATATGGTTACTAGTGCTGTTTATTCAGTTTTGGCAATAGCTCATGATGAAAAAGTCAAACAGTGAATAACTGTGGAGGATACACAATCACCATTTTCATACAATTAAACAGGTCTAAAAGAAATTTATTGCTATAACTGTCATTTTTTTAAGTAGCAAATGTGAGCCACAGTCTTTTTGCACTGGAGTTTTAGGGGATTTCTCCACCATAAATAAATAAATTATGTCCCCCAAAAGAAAAATTTTATCTGAATAGAAATATTAAGCCATCTTATCTTCATGGGAAAGTAGCATCTCTGGCAAGAAGGAAAATAGCAGTTGATTTTTCAGAGCCGCTGCATGACTGATGGTGATGCATATGCATATTAATACCTGCCGGAAAGGTAGCGCTGGGTACTACCAGTTTAGTGCCAGATTGCTGTGAGCAAGGTTTCGACCCGGACAAAGAATGAAAGTTAGAGAGTACGAGAGAGACAAAAACAGAAAGAAAGCAGGGGGGCTGTGTTGTTGAGTTTTGGGGAGGTGATATCTATGGCACAGGAGAGAGAAATCCATGGGAATTCTGCTCATTAGCATTTGAATTGAATTCCAGCAGGCGGAAAAGACAGACACTGAGTTCAGGACTGTTGTTAGTGAAATTATTGCACTGAATGTTATGGTCAAAGCTAATCTTTGCAACAAATGGAGAGCTTAATATTTCAGAAACCTGGGAAAGATAACGATTATTGCAAAAAAGTATTATTATTGCATACTGTGGTATTACTGTTGTAATGTGCACAGAGCAGTTAAACTCTGAAAGGCATCACTGCTTTTGAATATTAAAGAAGCCCCTGAGTTTAATTTTAATATATGGTAATAACATTAATTAGCAATAATGACATTAGGCGTTTACTGCAATCAACTGAACAGTTAGTTGGGACAAACAGTCACTGGCCTCTGTTACTGGTTATCCTCACTAGCTCTTTCAGTGCAAACCTTGACTATTTTCATCATCTAAAAATGCTTTAATTACCTTTAATTACCTTACCTTAGATTTGAAAATGTTGAAATGGTTGTAGATTTGTAGATTTCCCACTTTAAATAAAATGGGCCCCATGCTGACCAGCTACAACTATGTGATTATAATCAAATGATAATTATTTTAACACATAAATAAGAAATAGTAATCAAATGATATAGAGTTACTACTAATTGGAGGGAAACCTGATAAAACAGTGGCTTTTATTTACACACAATCTTTAATATAGAGCATTGTAAATATTCCTTTCACAAAAGTCTATCCTTTTTGTGAACATCAAGGAATACTGCCAAATAAATGAGTCATGTGAGTAGAGAAGAATGAAGTCTAAAAGAATTGCTTTCAGCCTTCTTGTTGTGTAGTGTGAACTTGTCCTGGCTCATGTAAATCAGTCTCAAAGCAGGGCAACATGTAAGAACACAGAAGGTATGTGTCATAGGCAAATTTTCTTGACTCCTGTTCAACAAAAGCACTCTACATTTTCACATTTGTGACCCAAGTGCAATCTCAGACTTTGTTTTGGTTTTGTGATATGCCCTAACTTTGCTGAAGTCTATCTAAAGGTGCACATCTCTCTCCAGGTTCCAGGAAAACAACAAAACTCCAATGATATATTTTGCTGGAGGCGGCCACACATAGAGAGGATGTTTACTTCATAGCCGGGAACAGGAACACGCTGTCCCAGTCAACAGGGCGATGTGCTGAAGATGGCGCATCTTATTTTTGTCCCTTCTGTCTAAAAGTATGTTTTTGTCCTGGAAAAGGGGTTTAACAGTGAGGGCAGTGTTCAAAAGCGAGAGTCCAACAGAATGCTGTGAAGAGCATTTCAAGTGCCAACACACCATGCACCCCACTCACTGGAAGGAATTCATCCTATTGTCAACTGAACTTGTCGAAAAACTCTTGAAGGTGCGGCATGGGGGGTTAAAGTAGGCTGAGCACAGCCTTCGTGACCGCTCTCAAAGCCAGATCATCCCAACCTTCTCGTGTAGAAGTATCAGTTGCTCCAATTTAGACGGGGTCCAAAGTTATTTGTGCCCCCTGCGTGAGGCGTTGATTTCACCCAACATTTGTCGGCTGGAGCAGTCATGACCTTTGCTCCTGGTAGTTAGGAACTGCCAGAGCTGAAAGGCAGAAAGCCAAACAACCATGGTAACAGAAATACTGGTATCTATGTCGGGAAGATTTACTGGGAATTTGTAAGGGATTTCCAGAGAATAAAAGCTTTATCCCATGATGAGTGAAAGTTTGATGCCTGCAAAAGCTGTCACCAATTGTTTAAATAGATGGCAAGATAGACAATCTGAAGACACAATCAGTTTCTCACGCTGCAGTGCCCCCGCTATTTTAAACCACTGTGTTGATGCGCAGTGACTCCCTGTGTCAGTGCCTGCTGTAAATATTTTACAAGCATTCCAAAGGTGGACTGGCTGTCCTTGGAGCAAAGCAATAAATTCCCCCACCAAATACGCACAGAGCTGTAGTGCATCTTCAGTGGTCATCTTCTAATTAACGTGGAACAACGAAGCAGAACTAAATTATCGACCAAGTTTAAAGGCAACGTCTGCCTGTCCTTTGGAAATTGCGACACAAAAACTAATACTTTCAGCAAAAAGAGCCACCTTTGTCAAACTTTAAAAACCTCTTTCAGAGGTTTTCTTTCATTTTCTTTGTTCGATTTGTTTTGTATCAAAGGCTGTGCACAGATCGCGTATGGCGCCGTGGTACTCGATAGTGAATCAAATGCAAGAAAAATATACAAATACAGTTTGCACAAAGCATTAGTTAAACCTGCCAAGATCAATCAAGACACTATTCTCACAGCTGTTATCTTCATTCTCTATTCTAAAGAACAAGTTCAGAAGCATACAGACACACACATGCTCCTCTTAATTTATTCATATATGCAGTATTCTCAGATTACCAGTGAATCCGCACAAACGTGTTCTCTGAGTCTACTAATATGCAAAAGATGTGATCGCTGTGCTTCTCTAGGATAGTAAACATCCCTGTTTCGTTCACATTCCTTTTTGCTGCAGTATCCTGCTGCCTGGGCAGCACGGTGGCGCGGTGGTTAGCACTGTTGCCGCACAGCAAGAAGGTCCTGAGTTCAATTCCACCATCAGGCCGGGGTCTTTCTGTGTGGAGTTTGCATGTTCTCCCCGTGCTTGCGTGGGTTCTCTCCGGGTACTCCGGCTTCCTCCCACCGTCCAAAGACATGCAGCTTGTGGGGATAGGTTAATTGGATAATCCAAATTGTCACTAGGTGTGAATGTGAGTGCGAATGGTTGTCTGTCCCTGTGTGTTGGCCCTGCGGCAGACTGGCAACCTGTCCAGGGTGTACCCTGCCTCTCGCCCTATGACAGCTGGGATAGGCTCCCGCGACCCTGAAAAGGACAAGCGGAAGCGAATGGATGGATCCTGCTGCCTTTGCCATCTACTTTAAAACAGTAACTTTAATTTGTTCCCCTCAAACAGATGAATTGTTTGAAGCCTTCTGTGAATTATCTGTAACTTAACTTATGCAGCAAAGAATTTATTAGTTTACAATTTACTGTGGCTGCATAGCTGTGCACACAAAACCATTTAACATCTTCTGCCCATTAAGTCACAAAGACCATTATGATAAACAGCTAATCGCAGATCTGAAAATTTTGTTTGACTTTGTTCTTTCACTTTCTCACAATGGCAATCTCCAACCGCCTCATCAGCAGCTTCAAAACAGAAATCAATTTCTGTTGAAAACAAGAAACGCGCACATTAAACTGCCTGAAATGTCTCTGGAAGCGACAGAAAAGCAAAGCCATTAGTAATCAGGTCTGTTCTACCATTAAATTTGATTATTGGGTTATGTTATAGTCATTCAAGCAGTGGCCTCATGTTGATACCATAATTTTGTTGACTATAAGTGACTGGCATGGAGTTTTACTCTTCCCCATGCATCACTGATTAAGTGGCTGAGAAATTCACCCCCTGCCTGGTAAGGCTCTTACATTAAACTATCTGCTTCTAATGGATAACCATGAGCTGCTCAAATGCTGACGGCAGCTAAATATACTCTGTTCTGTCACAACACATTTGGCAAGATATTAAATCCACGCGATCTATAAAGCAACAGCTGACTGTTGGAAACATATGCCATGTACAACAGGATATTAGAGTGTAACATTAAGTCAATAAAATGTGTATGTTACAGAGTTATGGAGGTGTCTCTGTCAAGTTTCAGCCTCTGAATAGAAGGACATGATTTACTAATGCAGCAGGCTCCAATTATACAATGCAGTAGAGTATATGTATGCAGTAGAGGGTTATGTAGGTTGCCAAAAAGCAATTATCTCGTCTTTTGCCTCAAAAGGTAGCTGAGATAGGTGGAGACAACATACCTAGCATGTTACAACACATGCTGAAATGCCGGTACCGGGGTGACAATGTATTGTACAACCTGTGAAGTGAAAAGCAGGAGCAGGAGGTGCTTTCCTGGCACTCCGTTTCATTTATGGTGTCTCATTGGTGCCACTGTGGAGCTCCCGTGTTTGCTTTTGAAAGTTTTGATTTTTATTTCACAGTGTCAAAGTGTTATGACATTTCCTGCATGAATCCACCATCAGTTTGCATTCAGTCACTTGCTTCACAATAAGTGCACTCAGAAAAACCACTCACCATCTGACATTTCAAATTTACCATCCTTTCTGTGCTTGTAATAAACCAGAAAATGCCGGTGAGTCATGAATGTGGAAGGTTCAATTCATGTTGTTCTGGAAGCATTTATTTAAAACAACCTGGATGATAAAAAAAAAAACTAAACTGGGAAGAGCCAAAATAACTGAGTGTTTCTGTGCACTGTTTGAGCCAACAATAGAAAATTGAACTGACTAGTTTGATCAGTGTATTGTTTGCAGTCGTTTCTTCACCAAAATTCTATCCTGAACTGAGGATCTTTGACTTTGACTGCATAAAAAACATCAAATGCAAGCTTCAGTTTGGATTCAGGGAAACTGCAGTGGGTGTTTGAAATTTTTTATGTTTCTAAATGTGAGAAAATCGAATGTCTGGTTTTGTTTGACCAGTAAATATTTTTTCAGTATAAACTGCTTACCCTACTGTTGAAGGTTAAAAATCTGCAGCTGGACTTGAGGATGTAGAGCACCGGAGGCTGAATTCTGTCATTAGTCATAAGGTAACCAGTCATGGGTGATTTCTACATCTTGGAAAATGTTGTCCTATCTGCGGTGGTCATCAAAATTATGATTTGTCCTGTAAAGATGGTCTTCATTAAAAAAGAGAGATATATAGTAGTTGCTACTGTACACATAAATATGTCTCCTTATGATTGATTGGAGGCCACCCATCAGACAGACCAAACAACATTGTTGTCACATTCGTGTGTGCGTTTGCGTGTGTGCGTGTGTGCGTGTGTGCGTGTGTTTCACATTTCCAAACAGAAACAGTAAAGACATCTGCAAAGAGCATCTGTATGCACATATTCACAGTGTGTGTTTCCATCGGCTGAGACTACAGGACCCTTGACACGCGAGAAAAATCTGTAAAAGCTGACAACAATCGCAACACAGGATGTTTTTTTAAAATTAAAAGCTGACCCTGTTCTCGTGCCACAGCCTGTTCTACTGTAAATTACTTTATTGAAAGCTTTGTACAAACATCACCACAGGGAGTGAGGACCGCAGGATTCCCCAATTACCACATTTCAGTCATGTTGGGTCACGCAAAGAAAGAGATGCGACCCATTTCACCATGACAAAGCTGCAGAGTCCTGAATAGGCCAGCTTCACAGGACTAAGCCTGGCTAATGCTCTGGGCGACTCACCCACTAACCCACCACTGCTCCTCACCCTCTCAGAGGCGTAGTAACCGAGTAACAGAGAGTGAAACGCACTACTGGGCCATACTACAAATTTTAGTACGGATCTGACTGCAATATTTTTAACCTATAAAGGTAGCTTATTTAGGGGGTGCCATGATTTATGAGATGAATCAACATCAATTTGTGCATTTTAAACATTTAATGACCACTAAATGGCTTAATTTCCACAATAAATAGATAAATGATACAACGCAACACACCTTTCACTATTTCACGTATTCTGAACCTTTTTTTTTCTTCTTCTACGTTTTTTTTGTGGGGAGAGATGGAATTTAAATGTATCTGTCTCTAAAGCACTTTAGGTGTGACGGGGTGACACTAAAAGGCTTGTGCATGTATATAGCAAGGGATAGAAACAAAATTCGGATCAGATACCAGTACCAGTGCTGGATCTTTTGCCCCCTTTATTGGCTATGAACCATTTGCACGTAAAGCTTCCTCCATTTGGAAGAGATGTAAGGAAAGTGGGCAGGTGACTTTAACATTAAAGTAAGAAGGTAAGAGTCTAATGAGAACCTTTGCAGGCATTTGTGGCTCTCTATCTTCACTACATGATTTGGCACTTGAGCTCCGGTATCATGCTGAGGTAAAGGTGCAGGTTTTTAAAAGTCTGCCTCTGTATATAAACACTGATAAATAGCCCATCCACTCTTCTCGCATTATATCCCTCTATTACAAAGCTGAACGCCTCTTTCTTCCGCAAGTCAGACTAAAATAACATAAAGCAGTCACATTTTTTGTTCTACTACTCACCCCTACGAAGAAGAGCAGCTGGAGTGATGAATCAATCTATCAGGGATTTGACCTCAGCTTTCACGGTAGGCGCTTCTGTTATTTAACATTTTAAGTGGATGACAACTTTTTAGTCCACGCTATGATTAAGCGCTGACGGTATGACAAACATCTCCCTCTGGAAGACTTTACGTCAAGTTAGCTGCATGCGCACTTTTTTTCCTCCACCTCATCCTCCGCTTGTGAGAAACTTTTTTTTTTTTTTGAATGACAGCCAAGAAGTGCGGAGTCAACAACTGCAACAAGTCTCCACAAGGTCTTTCTTCTATTTTGGAAGCTTCAGAGGTCAAAGGACAAGCAGCGAGTCTGTGCGCGTGTGTGTGTGTGTGTGTGTGTGTGTGTGTGTGTGTGTGTGTGTGTGTGTGTGTGTGTGTGTGTGGATTGCTGTCTGTCATATATCGGCACCTGGGCTTGGAGTTAAATATGCGCGTATAGAAAACCTTGGGAAATATTTTTGTCCGCATGTGCATGCGCGCGAGTCTGTGGCATGTCAATCAATCGAGGCAAAAAGCCCGAGCCCACGGGTTCGTCACTCCCACGCATACTGTACCTGCACACACACGGGGCGCCCATTTCTAATATTCAAAACAGTTGAGTCTCTTTATTGGTGAATTCAAAGCACAATTACTGCTCATTCATGCACGTAATTGCCCTTTCCCGATATATAAAGAGGGTGAATGTCTGCTGAGTGGACCTTACTTTCCCCATCGACGCATATCAACCATTTTACCTGCTTGAATTTGAAGTCGATACCGCTAGAGAATACAGTTGCCCAGTCCTGCTCTTTTTATGTCCACAGAGAGGATGTAGGTTAAAAAGTTTGTACAGTATTAGTCCACACCCACGTGCAACTGATATCAGCGTAATAGGTGAATAATACAGGTTACAAATGCAAATAAAGATGGGCTGTGTGTGTCAACTGTCTGCAACCATACACTTGACAGACACTGTCGCCTGAAGTTATTTTTCATGAGCATGAACAAGAATGTGAGGTGCAGATAGGCACTGAAAAAACAAAAACATACTGTTTACTCTCTGCAAACATCAAGCAGTAGTTTTGAGTTAAGTCCAAATGAAATGTATGAAAACAATGTTTGTTTGTTTTTTAAGTCATATAATAAAATCATTAAGGAAAATGTGCCTGGTATAAACTGAATGTCAAGTAAATTTCATCTGACCAGGATCCATTAGAGGCAACATTTTAGACTGTACCGATGTGACAAAATGACATATAAAATTTATATGCAATTAAATTTGTCAAATTCAGCATTTTGGACAGATTTATTTATTTATTTATTTATTGAGTGTGTGGAATATTCTTTGACATAAACACAAGTGGACAAAGGCTATTATAAGTACTAA